TCAAAACATAGGGGTAGACATCACCTTTTCTGTGTTATCACGTTTGGTTCAGGAGATATAACACAAAATACATAATTTGGCTATGGCGGAAAGTAAAATGGTCGCCATGGCAACCACAAGGTACATTTACATTTAGACATTTAGCAGACGGTTTTATCCAAAGCGACTTACAAATGAGGACAATAGAAGCAATCAAAACCAACAAAAGAGCAATAATAAGCAAGTGCTATAACAAGCCTCAGTTAGCTTAATGCAGTACACGTAGCAAGTTTTTTTTTTTTATTATATAATAAATAAAAAGAAAACAGATAGAATAGAAAAAGAATAGCGCAAGCTAGTGTTAGAGGCCTTTTTTTGAAAAGAAATAAAAAGAAAACAAATAGATAGAATACAAAAAAATTAGAAAAGCTTTTTTGTTTTAAAGAAAACAAGTAGTAAATGAATAGAGTGCAAGTCTAAAAGGGACACGTTTTTATTTTTATTTTGTATAAAGAATAGAATTAGAATAGAGAGTGCTAGAGTTAGAGGGTCAAATAAAGATGGAAGAGATGTTTTTAGCTGATTCTTGAAGATTCAGGTCGTTCCATCAGGAGGGAACATTTATTTTATTTATTTTTTTGTCTTTGTGGTATTTAGTCAAAATGTAATAAACATAAAACATCAACTGACACCAACAAGCCTCTCATTTTTCAACTTCCGGGCAACATCACAAATATAATTTAATGTATATCACTGGATGTCAGAAACTCGGTGGTCTTCATGACAAAGAGTTTGATTAAGCTTCAAGAAATTAATGAGAGAAATGTGTTATTATTGTAGAGTAAAATGTACTTCATAGAATAATAATAATACATGTATTGAATTCAATTATTTTATTTTTATTATTATTTGATTATTACATTTTAATTATAGGCTTAAAACAGAACTTCCTACCCCCACAAAAAACAAAACAAAAAAAAACACTAAATTTGGACAAAAATAAACCAGGTTGGTCAGTGCTCAACTACACTCTCGCCATTGCCACTAGTTGTCAGATTATATAATATTAGCATCATTTTCATACTCGGTCAATCATTATTTGTAGTATTTAAGTGCAAATGGACAATGATTCTAAAACAACAGAGAACCTCTTCCTCCTGTAGCTTTGAAACTATTGCATATATCTGTGTATGATTGGATCATGTAGACATTTGGACTGTTGAGTGGATTTATATGTTCCCATAACACACTTTATGGTGTGGTGTCTGTGGTTTATGCTTTCCTTTGTAGGCTATCACCTCATCGGTTGGATTGGATAAACTTTATTAGTCACAGCAGCACATGCCACACAATAATCAATAATAAATTAATAAATAAAAATGCAGAAAGACATTCACAACAACTTGTCTTTCCCAGTATCAGTTTCACAAAGCATTATGATTATATACAACAAAATGATTCTATTCTAACATCATGTATAACACTGATTGTACAATCTATTGTAGATAGTATTGTCAGACCAATCACGCTTGCTGTTCAAATATACGCCCAAGTACTTCTATGTTGTTAAAATCTCAATTTCCGACCCTTGTGTGTTTACTGGTGCCACTTGCTGAGGATATCTACTATAAATCAACCACAGTCTCCTTAGTCTTACTTGCACTTAGCCTAAGATAGTTTTATCTCACACCAGTCCACAAAACTGCATCCTCACATGTGGTCTATAGAGAGGTGGTTAGTTAACCAGCTGACCATACTCTGATGTACTCCAGCATTTTACATCTTACTTCTAAGTAGTGTAAGCTGGATAGTATTAAATGCACTATAGAAATTAAAGATCGTACTACTGATGGTGTTACCCGGAGTGACTTTGTGTAAGAGATAAATAATTGCATCATCTGCCCCAACAGCAGTTTTATAAGCAAACTGTAGTTTATCGTCAGCAGAAAACATTACCTGCTTTATATTGTTAAATACTGGCAATCTTTCAAAAACCTTCATCACCAGCTGTGCTGTGTATAGTGTGAGAACTCTTACACTTCTAGAATAGTGGGTTGTGCTTGCAGAGAGCTTTGTTGATTACGATGTTGGCGGTCTGGTTTTGTACATTGTGCTGATCTCATGTGTAGATGGATTGGTTGTGGATGGACTGGCCAGTCATCAGCACTGAGCTGGATTGCAGAGGGCTTTGTGGATCTCTGCTGCCCTCTGCTGCAGATATGGTGTATCATACAGCACTACTTAATAATTTAAAACCTAAATATTACAGGAAATGCCTGGGATGTTGAAATGAAATTTGAGAGAATGAAAATTGTGAATGAAAAACTATGTACGTACACCACACACACACACACACACACACACATATATATATATGTATGTGTATGTATATATTAGGGATGCACGGTTATTTAAATGCGATTGTCATGCACATCTCATCAGTAAAGCCGGCTCATCACGTGCTTTCAGATGGAGCAGCATTTACTACACAGAGCCATAGATCTCTGACAAGCTACGAAAAAAAATCACAGACTATATAATCGTACGATTATGAAATCGAAGAAATCATTTGCGATAATGACAGCTGTTTGCATAGCTTCTCAGTGATCTACGGCTCTGTGAAGTAAATGCTGCTCCATCTGAAAGCATGTGAAAATACCACATTTAATAACATATTTTTACTCCAAACTCACTTCATAACGTCAGTCGAGTGTTTGAAATAAATCCTTTTGTGAGATGATGTGGCTTCTTACACAGAATAAGGCACGCAACAGATTTCATAGTATTCTAGGCTATGTCGATTAGCATTGCATTATTATATACTTTATTATAATGAAAATTATAATAATAAGAACTCAGATAAACCATATATTGCCGTAGTCGTGTGTTTATTAGTCACGTTGAATCAATGAAAGCCGTTAAATCTTCTGTTTATAGAGTGGTGAAACTATAACGTCAATTTGTAGGCAAAAACCCGGAAGTGAGTTAGCATTTTAGCACTTCAGGTTCCATCGTCCCAGAGTCAATGGGTTTTTTGAATGAGAGTTTGGTTAAATCCCCTAAAGGTCTGTGGTTCACACAAGCTCAAGATACTTTCACGTTTCATTCTACAACATAAAAAGTGAAACTTTAACGATGCATAGTGCTTAAAGCCACGTTAAAATTAAATGTTTACGGCCACATGAAGCTGTTACGAAGCATATAGATTGAGGATTTTCTAGAAGCAAGGATAAAATAGTATTTTGTGTACCCTCCCTAACAAAACGATAGCTGAAATGTGGAACTTTATTCTCTAAAATAAGTTTAATCTTACCATATCCAAAAACTTGCTCACTCTGCTGTAATTTTATAGATGAAATGCACTAGAATTTTATTGAATAGTACGTCGAGACACATTTTTAATTAAAATATTCATATTAATCAAAGATTTATTCACTTTTAATGCACCTTATTTCGAAATGTACAGAAATGCGTGCTTTCATATGCCCTTTAGTTATGATTATTTCATTTATTCACTATACTATTTATTATTAATGTCTCATTTCAGTTTTTGTTTGGCTCTAGTTTTGTATTTATTCCAGTTTATATGAAAAGGTTAATGTAGCATGGATTAAAATTCATATGCAGACTAAATCCTTTTCACTGAACGTGTTAAAAATAAGTTTGAAAAAGTTGTCAGAAGCAGGTGGTGGTGCTGACGTTGAAGGCGAGCGACTGTGGAGGTGTAGTTCGTTTATAGCCTAAGTTTAGCTTTTAAGTTCTGGCACTTTTATTTAGGCTTCAAAATTCAGAAAAGTTATGTTATTTTGCGAAGATTATCTTGAAGTTTCATGAACTATGATTGAACACAGAGCTTATTTTTTGCGATAATCCAGAAAGCCTATGGAGAAATCCTATTGGCTTTTTGTCGCGGGAACCAGTGTCATGCTAACAGCTGATTGGCCTACAAAGTGACATCATAGTTCCCCCACTATCCAGCAAGGGCTATAGGGATTTCCTGGGTTTCTTCTGCTGGGTGTATTTGGAGTTTCCGTGCGAGAGCGCCCTCTAGCCTTCAGATGGAGATTTACTGCTGATCACAGAACCGTGCTTCACTGAAAGATACGCAGGACAATCGCAGCTTTTGCCTAATCACGATTGCAATTTCATTTCGATTTATCGTGCAGCCCTAATATATATATATATATATATGTGTGTGTGTGTGTAGGGCTGCGACGATAAATCGATGCAGAATTGATTCGTGGATGGATTCTGAGATCTTCCGAATGCTTCGCGATTCTCTCTGGAATCGATTCTGAGCTTAGGTTTTAACAGCAGATGGCGCTCTACTCTCGTTTTTATCCGCACACTCAAATACTCATGAAGAAGAGTGCTAAAGAGCGCTTGTGCATTCGGCTGAGTCTGTAATTTCACCGTGGCTCAGAATGCTTTTATGACGCGAGATTAATGTAAACACAGCCCACTGTGAACACCCTTGTAATTCGCTTCAACCTTTTCAAATTTTACGAATGATTATTTTAGGCCAGATAAACAGCGCAATCTGCTGTTCAAAACTAAGCTCAGAATCGACTAGAGAAAGAAACGCGATGCATTCGGAAAATCTCAGAATCGATGCGGAATCATTTCTCGATTCGCGATGCACCGATTTATTTTCCCAGCCATAGTGTGCGCACACACACACACACACATATTATTCTGATTTATTTAAAGATTTATATTTTTATTCTGGGAAACCCTTTTAAAAATGCATATTTTTTGCTTTTTGGCAGCTGAAGGAAGTGAACTCCTCTAAGATTCTGGCGGCCATGTTGACGTATGTTTGGCCCAAGGACAGACCGGACCTGCGCGCTCGAGTGGCCATCTCACTGGGTCTCCTCGCTGGAGCCAAGGTGCGTTTCTTCTTTGACTTTGTCTTTACATAAAGTCTGTCAGTACTGCTGGAACTGGCTGATATGAAGTGCTTCCAATTTTGGATGCAAAATATATTAGCCAACTGTATAGCTTATTCCAACAATTACAGATAAGGATGCAAGCATAAGGAACAAAGGAACAAATGCATCAAACAGCATAATATATAAAGCACGTCTCTCGTTTTTAGGACAACCTGGATCATGTTCTTTTCCCACAGGAGTTCACTGTCCTTCATTATTTTCCAGATACTTTCACAACATTAAAGTACATTAGTATAAACAGTTTTGCCCCATACTACACTGTAAAAAAACTGTAAAAAAAAAAAAAAAGGGCACAATGTACTGTAATTTTCTGTATTATTATTATTATTATTGTACAGGTGTATTTTGAGTTTTGCATTTTTCAGGTGTATTTTGAGTGTCTTGGCAGAAAATTATCACTACATTTTCCTTTTTTTTTTTTCTTCTTCTTAGTGTATATCTTGTTTGTAAATATATCAATATACCTCACAAAATCAGTACTGTGATTCTTTGATTACGTTCTGCACACAGAAGTTAAAACAAAGCTGCAATTGTTCATAATACATGCTGAACTAAAATATGAATTAAATATGAATACGAGTAGAAGCAATGTACGCTAAGGACCTTTTTAATGATTTTTTTTCACTTATAATTTAAAAGGCTTTTTTTTAAATAATTCATGTCATAATTTAGTAATGTATGAGCATTTTACATCGTTTCATTGAGCATGTGAATGAAATGATCTGTTTTGGAGCTGCTTCTCCTTTAAGACTTTTCTCCCACTCCTCTGATTAGCTTAATTCATTGCGTTTGCATTTTGAAAGACTAGCTCGTGAACAAGGCGACTAATATAACACTAATCAGTTCGCGTGCTCCAGAATACCATAAAATCCCACAGTTTTTAACCGTACCATTATTTGAAAACATTGTGCATCCTGATGTTCTGGAGAATGGCTAGTTTTGCTGCTTGTTTTCAATAAATGCTCTTTTTTTTTTTCAGCGAGAAGGACGTTTTGAGTTCTGAAACTCAGTTTATGTTTGTAGTGTTGTTGAACCCATGCATGTCAGAAGATCAAGTGAAATTTGACCCCCCACGTCATGACAACTTTAACAAACCATTTTCTCACACATTATTTCCAAGTTATTTTCCTTTTCTGTCTGCACCAATTTACACCCAGAAAATAAATGTTTTTTGGTTTGTTTTTTTTACACTTTCTTTTTCCCCCATCAGCTTGTGTGATATTCTCAGTGCAAATGACCGGCTGATGACATTTCACTTATTTACTTTGCTGATATCCTAGAAATAACAAGGAAAAATCTTTTTTTTTCCGATTGAAAGTGTGTTTTTGTTTTTGGTGTGGTGCACATGCCACTTTTTCTAGGCCCCTTGTACTGGTCTGCACACAATTTCCTTTTTTTCCCTTAAGCTTTTGCATTCGTTTTTCAAGTACATTTCAGACATTTAATTAATGAAAATCTATTTAACATATGCTTTGAGTTTACGCAGTTTCTTATATATTTATTTTTCCCCCAGTTCTTTCAAAGTTATGTATTTACACAGAAGAGTATTTGAACTCCACGATGATAACCACAAAAACTTCAACAACAGAAACTCTGTAAATATGTGTTTAATCTTACAGTGTGTGTGTTAAAGTAACCAGATGTATAAACCAAATCTAAGGAGACTAACTCAGCTGTGTGTCATTGTGGGATTTCTCGCCCATGTGTGCCTTATCTGCAGACATACACTACAGGTCAAAAGTTTGGGGTCAGTAAGACTTGTAATGTTTTTAAAGAAGTCTCTTCTGCTTGTATATCAAAATAGAAAAAAACGTTATTTTACATTGTAATAATATTTCACAATAGTACGTTTTTTCCTGTATTTTTGATCAAATAAATGCAGCCTTAATGAGCAAAAGAAACTCATGTAAAAAAACATTAAAAAACTTTGTGATCCCAAACTTTTGACCGGCAGTGTTAAATAAAGACTGACGAGGGCATCATAAACGGATAACTCGCTTATGTATTCGCCGGTCTGACCGCTGTCATCGTCCCGTGGCGCAGAATTCAACATGGAGGGAGTCGTCCACTATTATTGAACCAAAAGAGCAAGCTTATCAAACCTTGCTTACAGACGGGTTTTGTTTGGCTCATGCCGTGCGTTTGAGATCCTGTGTGTAACTAAAACCGGTTCAGAGCCACTTGGAAAAGGGCATTGCTATGGATGCATGCTGTTTGAAAGCCCAAGTATCACTGAGGTGTTGGCAGCTCATTTTTATCTTCCACAAATGAAGCTTCAGAGCAGTAATTAGTACGTTACGCATCCCTGCTTTGCTTTGCGGTGACATTACTTCCCGTAAAAGCAAACCTGCATGACTGCATTTCTTTTTTCTGTGGAAAACACAAAATTAATTGATTTGAAATGTCTGGGGATTTTTTTGCACTTCTAATGAAAGCTAGTGGAGTCCAGTGTGGTTCGGGCTCCAGCGTTTGTCGTATAATCTTTGTGTTGCACAGAAGTCATACAGATTTGGAACGACATGAGGTTGAGTAAAGGACAGAATTCATTCGGACAGTTTAGCTTCAGGATTGTTTTCTAATTATGTTTTTTCTCTGATAATTTTCAATGTATTTTAACATATGTACAATTCAGTTTAATTTAAAACAGCATGAATGACCGTGCATTTATAAGCACCATGCAGAGCTCAACTAAATGGGTGGCTTGGCACCAGTGTGAACGTTTGTGGTCTGTAAGATTTTTTAAAATGTATTTGAAAGAAGTCACTTTTAATGTACTTTAAAGTATAATTTATTTCTCTGATGCAAAGCTGAATTTTAATCAGTGTCACATGATTCTTTAGAAATCATATAGTTTTTTTTTTTTTTTTCCAAGGAAGCCTTAGCCAATGCACAAAACTACTTTTCTCAGATCTAAAGTCAAGTGGTCTATAAATGGAGAGTTTTGTCCATAAGCACAGCAGCCATGCTCTCGTCAGGAAGCAGCTAAAATCTCTGCATACCCAGTTCATTTTCTACATTTTTTCTTAGAAAGCCCTTATTAGTGTGTTTAATTTCATCACAATCTATATTTTTTTTGCATAATAGTTATTTGGAAATTGAACATGTTCTCTCTGTTAAGCATCCATTAAGCATGTTTTATTAGATTGTGCTGGTTTTAACTCATTGAGAAACTCTTTTGAAGAGATTCTTAACAGAGTTAAGCCAAATACAGTTTTGTAGTTTTTAGCAAAAATAAATTGAAATAAATTAAACATGATATAATTCAGCCATAATATTTCTCGCCATGAAAATAGCCACAGAAGCTGGAATGGCGTTAAACGCACACAAACAAACAATTTGGAAATTCTGGTAGAAAATGTGCTTAACTGTCATGAAAAATGTCCCAGTACAAAACATCTTACTGGGCTTTTCGGGGTGAAATATGACCAGGACATGTTCTTGACACGAGTTTCATGAGATTCACTCAAGATTCATCCTCGAGTGCTGTAGAAATGTGCCGTTCACCTAAAATGAGTCACACACGATGAAAGGGGTGAGCAAAAGTGGGGCCAGATTCAAGGGAAATGTCGCCCGGCTAATGCGCCGCTGTTTATTGGCACGACCCAGCAGCTGTCCGCTAGCTTTTAATTATCTTTAATAACCATTTCAGTTCCATTAGTGGATGCATCAAGCATCAACTCATTTTGAGCTGTGTCTGCAGGAGGCTGTTAATGCCTCTCTGCCCATCAGTGCACTCAGGAACCAAGAAAAACATTTGGCGTGCTCACATCAACCTCTCCTTTTTTCTGCTTGTCCTCCAGATAACCAACATTATGGTGCCCTTCATGTTTAAATATGCGGTGGACGGCCTGAACCAGATGTCGGGACACATGTTGAACCTGAGCGATGCGCCAAACACGGTGGTCACCATGGCAACGGCTGTTTTGATTGGCTGTGAGTCGTGTCTTGGCAGGTGTTTGACTTCATTTTGGGAAGCGTGCTGCATATTAAGCGCCGACTGACCTTTCCCCCAAAGTTTTGTGTCAATATTGCTTTTTAGATTCATTGTGATGCGTTTTGTCATGCATGCATCTGCTCTGGGTGCGAATGCAGTTTGGAAGTTTGTGTTTCATTTGCTCGTCACTTTGACTGCATTGACCTCAAACTCCTGGCTGAACTATAACACTGTGTCAGCAGAGAGAAAAAATTATTCACCACAATGGTTTCTTAAACCATTCCCACCAATGCACCAAAATTAGAAGCATTATTTATTGAATATAATGTATTTTTACTCTCCTGAGGTAATAGTGTTAGCACAGTGCTTATTTTATCGTGTTGGTGTTTTGTGACCATTGTTCTGTCTAGACCAGCATTGTTTTAGTATCATTGAGATACTTTTAATTAATGTTTATTTTTTTATTTTTTATTTGTATATCTTCCCTTTTCAATTTATTTTTAGTTCAAGTTTTAGTATTTTTGTTTTCAATTTTTTTTTGCTGTGTCTTTATAGCTTTTATTTTTTTTATTTTTCAGTTTTAGTTATTTTAGTACATCAAGTTAAACCAATTTAAACTAAGAAATGTTGCCTATGCAACCATTTTTTAAAATGTTATTTCAATATCAAGTAACGCAAGTTTTAAAAAAAAATTTTTTTTCTTTTAAGTTTTAGCTATAGTTAAATATAATAACCCTGCTCTAAACCTTACAGTTAAACTGGCGACTATGCTTTTAGGAATTTTATGTAAACATCCATTTTGCACATTAAAAATGAGCCATAGCAGTTCGTCCTGGGTTTTCTGTCGGGTCCAGTATATAGTTATAGTTTCAGGAGGTTTTCATAGTACATCATTTAATAATACATACAGTATTATTACTAGGACAGAGCAGGAATGTGTCAGAAGACAGAAAGGGTGTTATCTTGTAACATTTTTTTAACATAAGCTTATTTTCATGTTGTGTTTTTCCACAAACCTCGCCATCATCAGGTGGTTTTCATCCATGCATTAGAAGAGAATGGTTGCATAATTTCATAAAGCACTCGATGGCCCGAGCATTTACAGTGTCAGTCTAAAACATTAAGGCGAGGTATTTGTGAACAGTACAGGTGTGATATAAAATAGATTTTCCCTGTCATGGAGTTTGACCAGTACAGACTAATTTATTCTTAAAATGCATTCTAGTCTTAGTTTGCTTTTGTTGAAGATGGTGGTTTGTGCCACCCAGTGGAGCCCAAGTGCATGTTTGAATAAAGATAAATGAAGATAATGACTAGTGGTAACGAAGCACTTAGCGAATCATTGTGTCTTAAAGTGAAAATTCACTGTCTTCCCATAACTGCATATTTTAACGAGAGCCATTAGGTCCTGTGCACACAGACCATTAAATGCTTCTCTGCTGCTGCTTGTGTGATTTGTGTGCGCTGCAAGGCACAGATTATCTGTGCAGAATTTGCCTTGATTGATATTGTATTTAAGGCACTGTTCATCCTGAGGCTGTGAATTGAATGCATTAAGAGCAGTTTTGTTTCCCACTAGCAGATAAAACCTAAATGGGATGTTCATGTCAAATTCATTATTGACTTTTGGTATCTCAATTCTAATGTCATATTTAAAAAATTAACTATATGGCCATTCACTGTTACTAACAACATGAAGTGCGTTAAACATGATGTTGCGTCAAGGTTTTGTGAAGAAACTGCAGGGTTTAATGAAAAGATAATAATTAAGTTATGAAAAAAATAACATGAAATAATTTTAAAGGGGTCATATGATGCTATTTTAAAGATCATTATTTTGTGTATTTGGTGTAACAGAATATGTTGACATGCTTTAATGTTCAAAAAAACACATTATTTTTCAAATACTGTACATTATTGTAGGTCCTCTATGCCCCGCCTCTCTCAAAAGCTTCGTTTTCTACAAAGTCCCTCCTTTGACAAGCGCAGTCTGCTCTGATTGGCCAGCTGACCCAGTGCATTGCGATTGGCCGAACACCGCAAGCACTCGTCGGAAATGTAAAGCCCCTTACCATAATCGCGAGCTTCAGCTTTCAAAATAAATGTAAAGACAGAGCCCAAAAGGATATGACCCCTTTAATATAACAATGAAAATAAAAGACTTACTAAAAAAGATGAAATATTTTGTTTACCTGCAGGTCATGTGACCATTAACCAATGTCCGTGAACCGTGAACATGAACATACTACCTTAAAATTGCAGGGGTACTTCATGTGGGTATATTGGGTAAAAGAGGTTTGGATAGCAAAAAAAGTTTGTGAGCCCTTGCGTTACATGTAAATAAGAAATTATGTGAATTTGTGCATTTTAAAGCGTTTATTAAAAAAGACATAGTAATGCATGTTAAATAACTCACTGAGTGAGAATTCAAATAAAAATGAATGTGTTTGTCAGTAGCTGATGCAATGTTAAAATGTTCAGAACACTTTCTAAAATTGAAATGATTTTCGTAAATCCAGATGAAACTGGAAGACTTTGTGAATGTACATAAGCAGTAGGCTATTTTAGAAAGGACATTTCTAAATCAAAGGTGTTTAACAGCCACTGCTGGCAAGCTGCTCCTAATGAACTTTGTTTGTTCCCCAGTTCTGGTTTAAGCAACTGTATGTAGTTTTGTGTAACTTCGAAGCCCCCTATGATGATTTTGAAACAGATATTTCTTGCATATAGTTGCTTTAAAGGTGACATATTATGCCCCTTTTTACAATATGTAATATAAGTCTCAGGGGTCCCCAGAATGTAACTGAAGTTTTAGCTCAAAATACCCCACAGATCATTTATTATATCATTTTGAAAATGCCTATTTTGAGTGGAAGCAGAAACACGCTGTATTAGAGCATGTCTCTTTAAATGCAAATGAGCTGCTGCTCCTCGCCCCCTTTTCCAGAATAGAGCTGCGCCATTACAGCTCGTACCTGCTAAAAACATCTGTTTTGGTTCTGATTATCATGTTTATCGCTCTGAAATAATGCGTTTTAAACCATATTAGTTTAAACTTCAGATATAAGGTTTACTGAGCGCCCACATCCGAAGCACACGCACAGAAAGCGGCTGTCACAGCATGTGAGTACTAAACTAAGCTCTCATTCACACACAAGTTTACGTTAAAAACACACAAGTTACAAAAACAGTCGGTTATGACTGTGAAGGTAAACAGCTGGGAAATAAATCGCTTGTTTATTTTAGATCTGTGTGGCAGCAGCAATATACAGTAAATAAACCAATAAATACACTGCTTGTCTCCTCTGAGGCTGGGACTCTAAACAGTGTTCTGTGCTCGTCTGTGCAGCCAAACACAGAACAGTTAGTGTGTTTTGCTCAAACTTTCGCCATGGCATTAGAACT